AAGTATGGAAAGAACCCAAATGTCCATCGATGGATGCATGGATGAAGAAGATGTGGTATATATACACAATGGAGTATTACCCAGCAATCAAAAAGAATGAAATCTTGCCATTTGCAACTATGTGGATGGAACTGGAAGGTGTTATGCTAAGTGAAATTCGTCAGTCAGAGAAAGACAAAAATCATAAGACTTCACTTCTATGAGGACTTTAAGAGACAAAACATATGAACATAAGGGAAGGGAAACAAAAATAATATAAAAACAAGGAGGGGGACAAAACAGAAGAGACTCTAAATATGGAGAACAAACTGAGGGTTGCTGGAAGGGTTGTGGGGGGGGATGGGCTAAATGGGTAAGCGGCTTTACGGAATCTACTTCTGAAATCATTGTTTCACTATATGCTAACTAATTTGGATGTATTAGTTTAAAAAATAAAAGTAAAAAAATTTTCAATGGCAAAAAAATATATGTATTAAAACATGGCAGATCCCCAATAGCATAGAGACTCAAGCACTTGCATTTTAAAAATCATGTTCATCAGCTTTAATTTATAAAGCAAAGCTTTCAAACTGAGAATTAATTGATTCTCTTAGTCTTCCTTTTCACTGTTCATTAAAAAAAAAATAGGTGTGGTACTCTCTCACTTATTTTTTTCCTCTCACCCATTTTTATTAACATTATTTAACATTCGTTGAACAACTCACGTATATACTAGTCCCTGTTAGGGATATAGAATTGGTCTTCTGTTTTACATTGTCTTGCAAAGGCACCTTCTGAAACATGATTTGCTACTGTAATCCACAAATGGAACATGATTGTACCCTTTGTTTCACCTTAAGCCAAAAGCAGCTCAAGTTAAATGCCAAGCTTCCCTGAGTTACAAATTTAGAATCTCTCTGAGGTGCTTGTTCACATGGTGCATTATCCTACTGCACTGGTTGATTAGCAATGCTCTCTCAGAGTGGTATATTGACTTCCATGTGCGCTTATCATTTATCATACTTATGTTCATTTTATTCTTATCCCAATAATGACAGCTTTCATGTAAAATGAAAGGAGAAAATAAGATTAATACCTTCTTAGGACACCTTTCACACCATGCACAAATACGCAGGCTTCTGAATCAAACACATCTTCTCTGAATTTGTATTTTTGTATCATTATTATTATTATTACTCTCATTCAAACATGATCTGAAGATAACCATTTGTCATTTCTTCAGGAATGGTCGAGCAATAAAAGTGGCAGAGGAGTATAGAAAGCAAGAGAAAGGGGATAGAGAGGTTATATGATGTGCACGTTCAGTAAGGAGAAAAGCAATGACAACGGAAAATCAGACCAGTCGTCTGAGACAATACTCATTTTTAAACTTAATCATTTGAGAGTTTATTGAAGATATGTATTCAGCTTTGGAGCAATTTTGAAAGTCTGTGTTGGTGTTGATATCCAAGAGCTGCAGCAAGTTTGAATGAATTCCAACAACTGTAAACTTTTTTTTATAGGTACTTCTATGAGTTCAGAATTAACAGGATAAATGACAGCTGATTAATGCACCCTATCCTCTAGAAAAATTTAAAATTAGAAATATCCCTACTCCTGGAACTGCAAAGATACCTTTGCATGTTCTGTCACTTTATGACATTTTGTCTTTTTTGCTATTGGGCATGAAATGGTTAAAGAGGGAAAAAATTGAGTAGTTGCAGCAAGTGGGGTCAAGAAGTAAGTGGATTTTTACTGATGTTGTACAGGAATGTCATAGTGTTTATATTTACAGTCAATGAAGGGTGCCTTTCCAAATGGAACTTCCTCAGGAAGTGATCTTTTCCGTGGGAGGTTGCAGAACAAATCTCTCACTCTGTCTCAGTATGGCACAGAATGGTCAGTTTAGACACAGAGCTGCTGGGCAAGCAAAACTCCCATAGGAATAATAGGACAAAGGCTGCTGCTTAAAATTAATCTGAGGCCATTGCATTCTCAGTGATTAGACTTGTTTGCAAATAGCAATGCAGAGCATGAAACAAGGACATGACCAAACAAAACACAGATGACCTAGTGAATTGCGTGGGAGACAGGCACGTCAGCATCACCAGAAAACTGAGGAACTGACCAGAAATATATAGAAGGGCTCTTCCTAGTTCCTTAGAGAGGAGCACTAAAAATGGGTATCAGAAGCCTAGTGTATTACTTTGAGAATTGTATATGTTTATGTTTAACTTAAGTCCCAGTCTATGCCTGCAATTCTCATTCCCGAATGTGTGGGCCAACATTTTAACTTTCTCTGGTTGTGTTCCTAACGCCCTTTATTTGGAACAGGGCTTCTTAACCTCAGCACTATTGACATTTTGGACCAGACAATTCTTTATTGTGGGTGGAATGCCCTCTACGATGTAGGATGTCTAGCAGCATTCCAGACTGCTACCCATTTTATGCCAGTACCAGCCCCACGGTGGGGACAATAATAATGTCTCCAGACATTGACAAATGTTCTGGGGCAGGAGTGATGTGGAGACAAAATTGCTCCCTTTGAGAATCACTGACTTGGAGAGATATATAAACCTTATACTAAAGTCAAGGTTCTGGCTAACAGATTTAAAAATTGTCTAGTAGAATTATGGATTGGAGTCTTGGCCAGGTTTATTTCTGACTGGATATGCTCCATGTAAAAGGCAGGGACTGATTTTGCTGGAAGAATTTTTTGCTCTGAAGGAGTTCTTTTTGCCTCCATGGAAAGACTAACCTACAAAATGCAAGGAGCTAAGGAACTGATTCAAGGATTTCCAGATGTCTTTAGAGCTGGGCTCAATATCAGCATTCCACCTCTTATTGGAAGAAGGCAAAAGGTTTTCTGATTTGGTTTTGTTTTGGAGTTTTTGGGTTGTTTTTTTTTTTTTTTTTTTTTTTTTTTTTTTTTTTGAGCCTCTTCTTTTACTGTCAGTAAAGTACAAAGCCAATGGAAATAAACTGTTTCAACTACTTACCTATTAAAGGAGCACTTTAAAAGCTCATTCACTACCTAAGCATATTCATTTGGATATCTTTAGTCATCCATGGTCATATATGATTTTATTATCCCTCAATATGGATAACAACAAATATTGAAAAAAAATATCTCCAAAGGAATTTGTCATTTCAGGAAAAAGAGTTTATTAAATTAGTAGCTGATATATCAGCACTTTGGAGGGTGGAAATGATGTCTGATACTAACTTCAGCCACTAATACTCACCATTTTTCAGCTCAGCCGAGTAACCAGGTGTGCAGGTGTTTACCCAAATTATTTAAAACTCTTGATTTCTGAACATTAAGGAGGTCTTGTTCAAAACAGGTGGTCTCATCATTAGTGGGACTTGTCGTTTGGTCAGTACTGCTAATTAACAAATATTCACTTTTGACCCTCAATTTTTTTTTTCTGATTGTGAAGATCAGAAAAAAAGCTGTTTTATAAATATATTTTATTGGCCAAATGAAGAGTTGACTGAGTACACACATTTTATGCATTTATAATTCCTTGAGGGATTATAGCAGTTTATGCAAGAATGTGCATAATGTATATAATCTCAGAGGAAAGTCATGTATATTCACTTGGGGAGAGGTAAGGAAGGGATTAGCAGAGGGTAAGGTGAAGGCAAGTAATGGGTTTGGGGAACACCAGGAAGTTGATGATTGGCGCATTGGAGAGATCGTGTATGAGTGTGTTTGAGGTCTACAGTTGGTAAGTATTCCGTTTGTTGCATCTGCCTATAACTTCAGAGATGGATCAAGATGCCTCCATAGCACTTTCTTCAACAACATTAGTGAGTTGTCAAGGAAGATTAAAATATGTAGGTCTATATTCTGGTCAATTCATTAATCACTCAGAATAAGATTTTTCTGCTACTATCTATAGTAACTTTTCTATAAAATTAGATAATGTTAAATTTCTGGACCTGAAAGCTGAACTTTTGTTGTAAATACATCTTTATGTAGACTCTGCACTATTCACTGAAATTAAATGGCACTTTTTTTTTGCTTTGTAGCTGAAAGTCCTCATATTTTCCTCATGCTCAAAAATCATAGCATTAAAATATCCAGTGTTAGTGCAATAAGATTATTTCATATACAGAAATACAGAAATACCATACAGATTATTAAGTATAATTCAGTACAATAATTTTAAGAGAACTGGTTAGTTTATTGATTGATAAAAATATTAATAATGTAAACAGATGGGGGTGTTTCAATTCTAATATTCCATAGTCTAAGATTACCAACTGAGAAAATAATTATTCCCCTAAAAAATGGCTTGTGCTCACATTGCATAATTCTGCTGTTCTCCATTGTCTTCAATATTGGCCACCGCCAGAGGCAAGTGTTAGACAAGACAGACAAATGGTCTGATCTAGAATGGCAAATTCTATGTTTCCTTAATACGGTCTCCTGGAATGACAGCAGTTATGTATTTTTAAGTCTGCTCTTCCATTATGGCGATAAATGGTTATTTAAATACAGTCAGGTTCAAATTATACTAGTGGAAAATGCAGTAGGGAAAAGTATCAAAGACAAAGAACTTTTAAATAAATCTCATCTCTCCTCCCACCATATGAGTTAATTTCTATGCCAGATGGCAGATGTTTATGCTGGTACTTAAAAGAAGTAAAAATTAAATGGATCTCAAAACTTAATTGTTTTTAGTTTAGAAATGTTCTCAAATAAAGGGAGGTTGGTAGAAATTTTACTTAAAATGATCCCCCAAACTCAGGATCTTAGTACATAATTGTAATTTGGAAAAAAATAGGTAGCTTTCAAGTAATTGATTATTTTTTCAGTCCATTATTGAATTTTGCTATTATTTTTCAGGTAATTTTAAAAAATGCAACCAGTTATTTTTTTCTAGAAGTGATTGCCAAAAATCTTCAAAGGACTATATTTAAATGTATAGTGATTCAATTAGCTCTTTAAAATCGAACCATAAATGAGGTTTTTAGACACTCTTAATCATCATCTGTCAGTCTAAGTCACAAAGTTACCTATCCAAGGCTATTTTATTTTGATGTGGATTAACACAACACAAATAACAGAGAGTCTTCCTGAAACAAGTAATTGCTACATGATTAAGTCCTGTTTACCCAGACAGAACTGATCAGCTTAACAACAAGAAGGCTTTTCTTTTCTCAAAAGGTTAGTATTATGGAGAAAAATTATGTTATTATAACATCGACATTTATTGCTCAAAATAGCAAACTTAACCTAAGTGTTATATAGAGATTTTCTTTCCTTTTCTGCAAATACATTGACCCTATCAGAAATAAACACTACCTTCTTAATCTAAAACGCAGAATAAAATTTATGGCAGATATTTCTGGAAATCTCAACTGAAGGACAGCTATAAGCTCAAATAACTCTAGTAATCACTTGATTTTTTTGTGTTCAGTAAACTCCCCCAAACATTTCCTTTTGTACTAGAATAATGGCCATTTTGTATTTGGCCAAAACAAACAAACAAACAAAAATGACCAAAAAATAGTATTTTGATTAGTAAATTATAATGAAACTTTCTGTAATATTCTTGAATATCTGTATTCTGAACAATCAATTAAGCAAGTCTCAATTGAGCCCCAAAGTTAAGTTTACTGTTTTACTCTGTACAATAATATGATTTCTGTGTAAGCAGAAATATAAAACAACTTTTTTCTTCCATTTTTTATAATGTGTGTGTGTGTGTGTGTGTAGCCACAAAGAAGCTTTTAGAAAAAAAATAGTTTCATCATCCAAGGCTAAGTTTAAGCTTTGTTTTCAGTTATTTATAAAGCCTAAAAGAAATTCCTGTTGATTTTATTTGAGGCAGAGTTACGGATTGCATAATCGATGAAGGTAGCCTGGTCTGAGGATCTGTGTGGTGCTGACTTCTCAAATGTGCAGCACCTCTTTACAAGGAAGACTTCAACTCCAACCAATTTTGCCCATATTTTACTTGGGAGCTGGCATTCTTAACAGAGTCCTCTTCAGTCTTCAACATGTAGGACACAAACCCTCTTGCAAGGGTCCGGTCTAGCTGCTTTCTCAGATTATCATAGACCTACTAGGGGACAACAGGTGAATCCATGAAATTCTAGAATGGCACCTATGGAAAAGAACATTATGCATTTATGTAAAAGAGGCTGCTAGTGAAGGTGCAGTGACAAAGATACTCCAAAATACAATCACTCAAAAAGAAAATAGAACTTTATTTCTTTCACATGTAACAGTGCAGCGATAGGGGACAAGTTTCTAACACATAAAAAGCTTTACTTTATCTAGATTCCTTCTGCCTCATTTTCTAGCATTCCCTAAGTGTTGCTCATCTCACATGAGTGAAGATGGCTCACCACCACCCCTGAAAAGATGAAAGAGATAGAAGATACCAGTTTCATTGTTAAAGAAATGAGCTAGACATTGAACATATTATCTATCTGCTAGCCAGATGGAGAAATGTAGTCCCTAACAAGACAGCCGTGTGCCCTGCTAAAACTGGAGGATGGGGATAGGCATTGTGTTCCTACAGGAAAGAAGAAGTGAGTAGATATTAGGGGGCAATTAACAATCTGCACTTAAGCATTTAATAGATAGCTTATAGTATAATGCTTTTGATTAATTTATCTTCCAACATATTTTTCCTGAGTGCCTACTTTGTATACAGCACTTCACTAGGGCCCGCAAGGGATTTTAAATATATACCAATTTTTACTCAAAAGGAAGGTCTGATATTTTTAGGGAAATCAGCTATATACACCAAATTCCATCAATAATAATATGAATTATAATGCTGCTGATAACGGAACATATGAAGGATGCTAAATGAGTGGCGTGGAAGATGTGTGCTATTCGTATTCAGTGTTCATTTCCTGCTGGAAGACAGAATGAGAGGCATTAGCTGGCTCATGGGTGCCCACTCTTGTTTTGCACTTTTCACCCAATAACAAGGGCCCAATACAAATAAGGGCATTTCATACCATGAGACCCATAATTTCTATCTTTAAAAATTATATGTATCTATGTATAAATTTATGTGTATCCATATCTGTATATAAATTAACAAAGAGCCTGCTATTTTTCTAAATTCTGACGTAGATGTTATGCCTATACTCACCTTTTAGTTAAACAGCATCCGTTCTTATTGTTAGTGAGGTTGAATCAATCAACTGCATTCTCTAATGATGGAAGCAGATGGAAATAGAATGAGCTTCTGAATCTTCCTCAAGGGCATTGTAGAGGATGCTGCACCCTTGACTGAAAATTGCTCAATTTTGCAATAGAGTTGGCCAATGTAGACATAGTCTTATATTTTCACTAATTTTGAATTAATACTCTAGAAACCAGCAGCTGACAATGAGCCTGAACAGTTGGTTTCACACCTGAGGCCTCTTTTAAAAGACCATTCTCATCACAGTCAAACAACAGGAGGATATATTAGAGGGGAAATTAGCGCATTTTCTCTAAGACTACTTAAGTAGAGTTTCTCTTGAACTAATTAAGATTCGATTCTATTTCGGAAACTAATGTCTAAAGCAGACATTCTGTTTGGGAGTTATTAATAAACGAAAGCAGGAGGTTCCAGAACACTCGAAATGGTACATTTTTGCCTGGTGGATGTTCAATAAAAGCGCTTGTTGGAAACAATTAAGTAGAGAATGGCATTTTAAACATATTAGCAAATGTTCAAGGTGAATGATTATGGTATATAAAATTATTAATGGGAACTAAGAACTTTGAAAAAGTAGAATGAGTGACACTCTTGACTATTGAAAACATCCCTGATGCTCTCCACATTAAGCTTGTAGACTCTTAGAATTTTTAGATGTGTGGAGGGGACAGCAACCTGACTCTTTATTTTTTTTTCCAGACTATATTGGCTATAATATGAATTCTGTTTCCAATTTGAAAGGAAAAATATTTAAATATACGTATGAAATTTACATACTGGATGTGATGATTCATGCAGCCCAATTCAAAAAGATCAGCTGGTCTAAACCAGAAAATGCTAATGTAGCATGGAGGAAAATATTTTTGCCTGGCAACTTCAATAAGTGCTCACAAGTTGTCTGAGTTGCACTCTGCATTTTCATATAATAAATTGCTACACGTGTAAGTACTGGGCCAGAAAGCACTCTCTTGCCTTTCGCACAATGCATCTTTCACGGAGACCTGAAGGTGGATGTTACATTTACCTTCCAGTGATAACCATGCTACGTGAGGTTAGTGACTGCCAAAGCCCTTAGATTTGTATTTCACATCATATGACAACCCTCATTTTTTTTTTCAAATAAAAGAAACTTCTGTGGTGTTTCCTGTCATTTTATTTTAATAGCAGAAATAGGCATTCACGAAAGCCATCTGCCACCCACTATGAAGTCTCAGGGTCAGACTGCCTTTTACAAGTTGCATGGAACTGAGATTATCAGGGGACAGGAGTGATAGTTATCAGTGCTACAAAATTCTGGGAAATGTTAAATTCTTAGAAAAAAGGGAGGAAACATCAAAGTGCTCAATATTCAAGATTTTAGGGCAGGCATGTTTTTTAGTGCCTGATACAAAAGAGGGGGTGTGTCAAGAGAAAGAAAAATAAAGAGTTCGTTATTGGACTCCTTTATCTTTGTTACCAGTTTCCATCCAGAGGAAAAATTTGTCTAATTGGGATTCTTGTAGTTTTCTGAGGCGGCTCATTCTGTTCCATGCTGATACAAACAATATCCTCCGCTGTAGCCATTTTAGACGACTCATTTTTCTTTCGTTCAAACGGTTCATGTCTAATGACCTCAAACTAGAAATCTTTTCTTCTTCACTGTGGTATCAAAACCGTTCTTAAACCAAGGTTGATGAATTTAAGACTAGATGACAAAAGTAAGCTGTACCAGTTTCTTTGTCATGGCCAAGTTTCAATAATAACCTTCTCTTTATGCAAAACTGTTCTGTCAAAGTCCAATTACATACAGTAGAATCCTTCACTTTTCATCAGAATCATTATGCTTGACCTAGACAGCTGTTGAAAAAAATTCAGGGTTCTGTGAGAGGAATAGTAGTACAAAAACCTCAAACCATTCACAAATCCATTCCTTCTTTTCCCAGGGCACAAAAATACACTACCTACTGCTGGGTTCAGTATGGCCATGTGACTATTTGCCAATAACTATGCGCAGAAAATGCAAATGGTATGTGTGTGTGCGTGCGTGTGTGTGTGTGTTTAAATATAATTACTGTACTAATCAGTTTATTATACAAATTAATAATTCTTGAATAATCAAGCAATTGAGTCTTTAAATAAGTACAGATATTTCCATAAAATAAATGTTCATTTTTACCTCCAGAGAAACTTCAATACTTAAAAAAAGAATAAGAAAAGTAAGACCTATAAGTTATGTCTTAACTGAGAAACAACATGCAAGCCAGAGAATATGAATGACAGGCCTAAAGCGAAAAGGCTGAAGGGGTGGGAGATGTAAAATTTTGGGGAACATAGCCCATCACACTTTCTGTGTGATAGCCCCAATCCATTTAAATGTTAACTAGTTAAATTTAGACCTTAAAATACAGGATGTGAGCAGAGTTGAATCTGGTTGGTCACACTTTCCCATAAGATGTATGCCCTTCAGAATAAAGTGAATTAGAGAAATGGTTTCATATTCTTCACCTTGTGTTTCGTAAATGTTTTGAGTTCAAAGGGATTCTATTTAAGAACAAGCCCCTACTGGTCTGTGGAGCGATTCTTCCCTGTCTGAGCACACACCATACCACCCCCCTTCAGGTGGCTACTATCCATATTGAAGTCAATAAAGGAAACTTACAGTCTCACATCTAGGATGCATCTGGAAACGGGCTGCTCATACACACCATTCTTTGTTGAGAGGCAGTCTTGGTACAGAGTACGGTATTTCTAGTTTGCTGTTCCAAGTCTGTGGAACACACAGCCCTGCTGGTGTCAGGTAAACATGTGCACAGGGGGAAATGAGGCATGGGTTCTTAGAAAGCAGGCAGATTGGAAAGCAAAAGGGCTTTCTCTTTGAGAATCCCCTTCTCTTTATTTGTAGAGGTTATCCAACAATTTATTGAATTGCAACACATTACACCCGAGAGGACTACAAAGCTGTAGGATATAGAGGGGCCCCAAGATGGAAGGCTGCTCGGTGTCACAGTCACTACATAAAGTCTTGTACTGACTCAGGAACACGGGACTGACTGTCATTTGAGCAGAAATGCATAACTATTAGGTTCAGGTTCTAAACTGTTGAAATTATGTGTCAGGGTAATGCCCGTGAGTGCCTGTGAGTAGGAAGCCAGGGCATACAAACTCCATGGCTCAGGAAGGAACCTTACTCTACACTGTAATTCCAACAACTGGTAGCTTGTTGGTGGGCATGACACTTGCCCTGAAGCAAAATACACACAGCCCTTGCTTAATTATTATCATAGACTCTTGGATTTAAATTTTTAATCATACTATGATCTGAAGCCAAATCACTCTGGGGCAAAAGAAATCATTTACCAGAGAAAGTACCCATTTTACCAAAGAGGGAAAAAAACCTTTTCTCTAGAGGCTACCAGTCAGGAAAAAAAAAAACAAAACAGGAAAATATTAATCATGAAAGCTTTTCTTGTTTATGGCATTCGATAGATTAAAGTAGGAAGAATAGTGTGATGCGAGAAATGTTACTTTGCATTTCTACCGCATTAAGTGTTTCATGATAACCACTATCGAGCATTCACTAGGTGCCAGGCTGCATGAGAAGTATTTTTACACAGATTCTTTTACATAATTCTCATGACCTATAAAGTAAATAGTATTTTTATACCCACTTTACAGATGAAACTTGTAAGTCACAGTCACATAGTCAGTAAGCCATGAAACTGGCATTTGAACCCAGCACGATTCATTGAAATAACTTATCATCCCCTTAGCTTCGGTTGTCTCCAAAGCAACCCCACTTTATTTTCCTTGATTTTTTTTTTCTATTACTTTATCACTTCTATTTTGCTTTACTGTTAGTTAATTTGTGTAACATTCACTTCATCCACTTATTGTGCACCTTCCTCTGCATCTTCTCTTAAATTTTCTGCACCATGCAAGTAGGTTAAATATATGATTTAAGGGTTGCTTGGAAAGCTTCTTGCTTTATACTATCTCCTTTAATGGCCTGCTATGGAACCTAGAAATTTACCTTTTAAGAACAGTTACCTGTTAAGAATAGTTTGTTAATGGGGCGCCTGGGTGGCTCAGTTGGTTAAGCGTCCGACTTCAGCTCAGGTCACGATCTCACGGTCCGTGAGTTTGAGCCCCACGTCGGGCTCTGGGCTGATGGCTCAGAGCCTGGAGCCTGCTTCCGATTCTGTGTCTCCCTCTCTCTCTGCCCCTCCCCCGTTCATGCTGTGTCTCTCTCTGTCTCAAAAATAAATAAACGTTAAAAATAAATAAATAAATAAAATAAATAAATTCGTTAAAAAAAGAATAGTTTGTTAAAGTTCAGGTACGGCATCACCAGACATCTGTTAAAACACAAAAACCCCTCTGAGTGTTCATTCACTCACTTCATCACCCACTCCATAAACAACTTATTTGAAAAACAAACAAAAAAACCCAAGCCATTGCAATTTAATCGGAATTTAAGTGTGAAATCATTTACCAAAGATGGAGTATAAAGAATGGGTTAAAAGTGAATAGGGTGGAGAGGAGATTAACAACAAAAACAACACCCAGAGCATGAGCTATTTCTCCAAAGAAAGTTACCCTGAATCCACTGCCATCCTAGGAAGTATTAGGCAGCCTCAAACAGTGAGGGAAGTCACACTAAAGAAGAGATGCCTGGGCGGAACAGAGACCACTTAAGGTTGGGAGCAGAGCTCTCACAAGGAAGGTGGGAGTAGGTAAGAGAAAATGTTTAGTAGTTTTTCATTTTGTCTAGGCCTACTTAAGTTCTTGGCAGCCCATATCACCTTGTGCTGCATGACCTCTAACTCTCTAACTGACCATATGGCTCCTCGAAGTTCTCTCAATTTCTCATTCTGTCAGGAGAAAATGTCCATGCCATGCTTTTTCACTCACAGTTTCATTGAATGATAATGATAGCTCAAGTGGACATTTAGTTTTTCATCCAAACCGTTGTAAGGGGACACTACAAGAAACCACGGCTATCCTAGGCAACCCAGACATGTGTCTTCCTATTATAACCTTTATTGAGAATACACTGTAGCAAGCACTATACTAGATTCCTTACATGGACTGTCTCAATTAATCTCCACATCAACCCTAGATATGAAGTGTCCTCTATCATCATCCTGAAACTACTGAGGAAACTGAAACATAGAAGGATTGTATAACATTTCCAATCCATTTAGCTTTTATTTCCATAATACAAGTGGGTAAAAAATGTGATATTCAGATCCATAAAGTATGCCTCTTCCATAGCCCATGTCAATCCTCGTTGCTGTTTGAGATTGTTGAAGCAAAGCCACTATAGAGACCTTCCCCATAAAGACAGACATGACCCAAGGCCATATTTGAAGTAAATTTCCACTGGGCTTTACATGTACCATCAAGGTCATGAGGGCAAAAGATGTAGTTGAGAAGCTGAGTTCCAGAATTCTTTGAGATATTCTAGCAGAAACCTGAAGCACATCCTGAATCAGATAAGATTCTCTACCTTGATCTGACCCTTGATCTGACATTTCCTTCCCACCTCTTCATTCCTGACCTTGGTTGAATCAAAAAATAAAAGTTGGCCGTATGTACTATTGTTGAATTAACCTCAAGTAAGAAAAATTAGACAGAAACGTTTTTGATCTCATTTTCTTTTTCCTTTACTATACTATGCCACATTAGAGAGCCCCATGCAACAGGTAATTCAGACATCCCAAAACTCATGGGATGAGTAAGAAGTTTCTTAGATGTTGGTGTTCTCATCCCCATGCTTCTTTGGGTTTAAAATTTCCAAGAGGTGGGGAATCTTCTGGAGTTTACTATTCATAATTTGAGAGGGAAGCGAATGAAAGAGAAGTTAACTGATTAATTTTGGAAAAACAAATAATGCCCTATTGTCATAAAGCTTTAATAGACTTTTGCAGTTTTAAGCGTTTTATAATTTGATAACAATATGTAAGCCAGAGTTGTCCCTAAAGCTCAGTAGTGCTCCAGGTATAAAATGCTGTCCCAAATTGCCTGGACCTGTTTGGATTTCTGTTAGAATTCCCAGCTTTCTCACTCTAGCTCAGCAGGATAGGTCATATAGCTTCCCTAACAAGCCACTACTTACCACTGAACATGGAGACTTCGAGATGTACTTAACCTTGATGGAGGGAAACCTTGTATCTAATAAAGAGGAATAAAAATCCCGAATTACTGCAAAGCACTGCAGCGGGCAAGCTGCAATTCCAGTCATATGAAACCTCTGTTTACAGTAAAATGATGATATGAATCACAATGACTCTCATATAAGGACTCAACTGCCTACCTAGTCATATTCCATATATTTATAATATATAATTTCATTTTCATACAAGCTTATTATACATATTAAAGCAATACTTTTCCTTGTACAGCCAAGATTCATTGATAAAACAATGAAGTGAACTAACACCCTTCCTAAATAAAGTTTCACCAATAGCACCGTATGTTAATGGACCTATTTCATTGTTAATGTGACTGACTGCTTATTGATTCTTGCAGGAATCCAGCAAGGGCTTCAGAGTACAATTTAGTTTGGAGAGCTCTGGGTCCAACATCTATGCTCAATTACAACTTTCAGAAGAGGAGATCAATAAAATTTAAATTGCTTATGGTAATCACAACTTCAAATCATTGCGATCAGCATAAGCAATCTGCTGACCCCAGCCAAGCTCCTAAATTGAAACTTGTAATGAGTGGTCATTTAGTTTGGGTCCATTCATATTATTTTGGAGGCAGGTGATGAACAATTAAAGATCAGCCAGCACCTTCTCTGCACAACATTCCCATCTTTATTCCCAAAGTATTAATATGCAGTAACCCTCGGGTTCACGCTTTTGCACTGCTTTAATGGGTATTCTGTATGAATAAGCAATTATATTTTCTATTAAACAATTTCAGTGTAATTGAATTAGCAGTTATAATATTGCTAGGGCAAGCAAAAGCTTTCCTAGGGAAAAATTAAGTGATATTGGGTAGTGCAAATTAATTTATAGAACTGAAAAATGTAACCAATTAAATAGAATTGCCTTTGCTCCCCCCCCTCCTCCAAAATACAATTAAGCAGCACATTGTTTCAAAGAATATGTTTCAGAGCAATTTGTTTTCAATCATAATAGCTGTTTTTCATTCATTATGAAAAGCTGTCTATTATAATGAAAATTTCATAGGCAGTTTTCCTTGACAAAGCAGGTTGCAAGTTTAAACAAAGATAGCCTGCAGATTACTTCCTTGATAAGGAGTCACCTTAGAATTACATTTTAATAAATCATTGAAAATAAATCTTCTGCATTACAGCACGAAGGTTTAGAGAAAGAAAAAGCAAATAGAGAGAAACTAATCAATGAAAATCTCCTGCTGCCAATATAATAACAGATGGACAAATGCGAATATATAAACTGTATTACACTCACACACACAGCCAAAAAGAAAAATGTAAGATAAATATCACGGAAGTCAACTGTCACAAATGAGACTTGAGTAATAACCCCATCTTTACTATTCATCATCTACTGTGCCTCCTCCAAGCACTTTGCTGAATAATAAACTAGGGTATTTAGGGCACATTTTTTGCAACCTAATAAGATGGCCATCTTTAGATTACTACTACTAAGGTTCAAAGCATCTTACCAAGTTTTTCAAAACAAAGTAAAATGTAAACATATACATCTATGTAATGCATATACATAATACATACAACATATGATATGTACATATATATTTGAAGGGAATTTAAAACTATAGCTGGAATCATTGTAAATATTTAATAAGTATACATTAGTTAAGAATTTTGTAGTAAAACTATTTAGTAATACCAATGTCATTTCTTTTATTCATGCTCAGCTCTGAAAAGACCGGCACAGAAGCCATAAGTCTCTCAACATGAATTCCATAAAAAGAATGGTTTAGATTCTTTAGAATTCTTTGGATTCTTTGGCTAGAACTTACAAGATTTTTATGCAGGGAATGACAAGTCAGGTCTTTAACTTGGGTGAAGTGAAGACTGACTGGAGGGCAGAGCGGACCAGAGGGAGGTAGGGCTTTAGTGACTCCTGCATTAGTCCAGGTTAGAAGGTGGGCATTTGAATTAAGGAACAAGTGGAGAAGGAAATGAATGCCATCAGTTTTCGGAAGCTGAACTGACAGAATTTCACATTTGATTGGCTGTGGAGAGGGAGAGGACTTGAGAATAGCTTGAGGTTTCCATTTTGGAAAACGTGGAAGGCTAATAATGCTATTTATGAGTTAGAGAACGTAGATGAAGAAGTATGTAGGGGAGGTGATAAAGTTCATGTGTTAATTAAGAGTATTTCCAAAATACTGAGTTAGATTAATGTTCTTTCTGGGCCCTTTGCCTCTAGTGAGGTAGTGGTGATTGAAAATGGCATTTATTGCAGAAATAGCTACCGATGTTCCTTAGGTAAGTTTATCTTTGCATATTCCCATTTATTTTTATTTAGTATGTAGGTTAGGCCCATTGTCTGAGAGGGTATGGCTTCTGCACCTGAATAGAATTTTTTTTTTGCACCTGACTGAAATAGCTATCTTTGGGTTAGTACCAAGGCTTAAAGGCATACTAATAATTTTCTCAAAAAAGATGGAAAATATAAGTATATTTTTAAATTCAGCCTCTGAATCTGATAAACATAGTGAATAGTGGTTTGAGGCTGCAAAAATTTTATCTAACATTCAGAAAATATTTGTCAAAAATTTATATTCATTTATTTTTAATTATTATTATTTTTTTATTTTTTTATTTTTTTTTAATTTTTTTTCAACGTTTATTTATATATTTTTGGGACAGAGAGAGACAGAGCATGAACGGGGGAGGGGCAGAGAGAGAGGGAGACACAGAATCGGAAGCAGGCTCCAGGCTCTGAGCCATCAGCCCAGAGCCCGACGCGGGGCTCGAACTCACGGACCGCGAGATTGTGAACTGGCTGAAGTCGGACGCTTAACCGACTGCGCCACCCAGGCGCCCCTAATTATTATTTTTTATTTCATTTTCTTTAGAGAGAGTGAGTGCAGGTAGGGGAGAGGGGTAGAGGGAGAGAGAGAGAGAAAGGGAGAGAGAGAATCTCAAGCAGACTCCATGGTCAGCATGGAGCCTGAAGCAGGGCTTGATCCCACAATGCTGGGGTAAAAAACTGAGCCAAAATCAAGAGTCGGAGGCTCAACCAACTGAGCCACCCAGGCACCCATATATTCACTTAAAAGATGTAGAAATCAAAATTCTCTAATTGGGGAAAATTAGTAATGCCAAGTGTTTCCACAGTTCGTAAACAAACCAAAAAAAATTAACATATGGTAGTTATTTTTTATTTTATTTTGTTTTATTTTAATTTTTTTTTTAATTTTTAAAGTTTTTAAAATTTATTTATTTTGAGAGAAGGAGAGAGAAAAGTGCACGCATGCAAATGGGGAAGGGGCAGAGAGAGAGGGAGAAAGAAAATCCCAAGCAGTCTCCACTCTCTCAGCACAGAGACCAATGTGGGGCTGGATCCCACAACCCTGGGATCATGACCTGAGCCTAAACCAAGAGTTGGATGATCAATTGACTGAGGCACCCCAGTAGTTTTTTTTTGTTTGTTTTAAAAATATGAAGACATTCTGGAGCCTGGCACAATATTTGGCATATAACAGAAACTCAATAAATGTGAAATAAATCTGTTTATATTTGAAATGTAAATAGTGGCTTATATATTTTAAGTTGTCCATATCTTGAGGCAGTTGTTCATATATTTTAGCATCAAAGTATTTTGATGCTAAATAACTCAATTATTTAGTTATTTTCACATTGACTAATTTTGGCATTTTTTATTTATTAAATAATTATCAATTAACTATTTAAATATGTATTAATATTAAATATTATTTATTTTAATAATTTAAGGCATTTTGCCATTTAATAGTTCAATATAACTTTCCATACACTCATAAACACACTCCCAAATAATTCACCTATCATCTATTGTGTTTTAATAACTTACTGCTGAGGGGCTGGCCCCTGAGTGGCTCAGTTGGTTAAGCATCCGACTTCGGCTCAGGTCATGATCTCATGGCCCGTGAGTTTGAGCCCTGCTTGGGGCTCTGTGCTGACAGCTCAGAGCCTGGAGTCTGCCTTGGATTCTGGGCGTCCCTCTCTGCCCCTCCCCCGCTCGTGTTGTGCCTGTCTCTTAAAAATAAATAAACAGTAAACAAAATTTATAAAAAAAATAAAATAACTTACTGATGAGATTTTTATGGTTATACAATATTAATAATATAGTTCATATTTCAATTTTTTGAAATAGATAATTGCAAAATATATAAATTTCCCAGGGAAATTCTTTCCATGGGTTTCATGACCATTAACTTAAACTTAACTTTCTTATATTGATTTCTGAAATTCAAGATCTGATGAAACACAGCAATATAGAGCAGAGTATTTCCCTTTCTACACAAGGTTACCCTGTCTATCCATGCTTATGCATAGATTACTTTACTTGATGAGGCTTCTTGGTTCGGATGTTTCCTCTCATTCTGTAGCATCATCTGCTTTATCCCCTGAAGACACCCCTGTACTATTCAGCATTTCCATGCACCCAATCCTTAATAAAACATAACTTAAAACTTCAGTGCACTTTATCCAACATTTATTAAATACCTGCCAAGTGCTATGATAGGTGAAAAAAAAGCTGAATTAAATTCCTTCATGTATCATTTCTTCTTCCTTGGTGATATCAGTGGTTAAGAGTGATTGCTCTGAATAATCCAGTGGGTCCTTTACTCTGTGACTTCTAAACCTCATTTTCCTCATTTTAAATGGAGATTGTAATAGTACCCGCATCATAAATTTGTTGCGGGGAAAAAAGCAATATTGATAAACTATTTGCAACCGTCCCTGAAACATAGTATGTGCTCAGTTAATGTTGGCTATTACTCTCCTTTGCATGGATCAACTTTCAAACCAGTAGAATAGATTATTATGGAATTATGTACATTTACTACACTTATATCTAATTATAATCCTCAAAATTCTATGGAAAATGTCTTCCTATAGACATTTTCAAAATTTTCATTCCAATATATTTATATATACTTACTAATCATTTCTTGCACACCAGACAGTGGTGATGCAAATATCAAAGTAAGATTTGTTTCCAGTATGGGATTAGGTTCAATAAACTGTTTTCATTCACATCTTTCCTAATGTAAGATATCTGGCTGCAGTCTTTCCTGGTTCTCTTCAAATCTCCCAGGTCTTTGTCTATTCAAATTTATTGAACATTTTTCACATTAACTACAAATTTCATCAATGATTCAATTTTGACACCTTGAACTTCTCCTTTTCACACTCTTAGCTAAGGAGTGCTTTTACTTATATGGTGGCCATGTCTTCCAGCAGGAAAATTATGTCTAAAATGATTCATCTTTGATCTCTTCTTCCTGTATACTTTTACAGGCTGTTTTGTGCTACCAAAAATCAAATATATGGGACAGCACAGTGATAGTTGACCTTTTTGATTTCTACTTATACAACTTATTATCCATGTGACTTTAGTCAACTTATTTGACATCTTTCTGTTTTGCTCATCTTTCTAATGAGAATAATTGCACTCACCTTTTGAAGTCTTAAGATACATTGAGATAGTGAAGTACAGTGCTTTCTGCAACGCCTTTGATACCTAAGTGTCCCTGAAAAGAGAATTTGAGATTAAATTATTGTTATTTAACTATTTAGTATATTGTTCTTGTGAAGCTTCCATAATTTTCTACATAAAATGTGTGAAACAGATACACTCTCACCTTTAAAATCTTATTTAACAATTTAATTTTCCTATCAGAAAAAAAAATCAGTTTTTAGGAGTAGTACCTGGGGAGTGCAGATGGTTGGACAACAGATTATTGATTTCGGCTCAGGTCATAATCTCACAGTTTGTGTGTTTGAGCCCAACATCAGGCTCACACTGCAACATGGAGCCTGCTTGGGATTCTCTCTCTGTCTGTCTCTGCCTCTCCCCCAGTCTCTTGTGCACACACACTCTCTCTCCCTCTCTCTCAAGATAAATAAACAAATATTAAAAAAGAAAAGAAAAGAAAAAATCAGTTTCTAAATGAAATAATTTATCCCAGTACACTCTTCGTAAGTTGCAGCCTAGGCAGTGGGAAACCACATTGTGTTTATATATTGGAATCTGAATTTCAGTCCCAGTTCTGCCACTGACTGTGTTCAGTAGGTAAGCCACTTAATTTCTCTGGGCTGAGGTATTCTCATATGGAAGACAGATGGATTTCTAAAGTTTCTTATAACTCTATTCTGATCCTAAATATTTCCCTCCTTTCAAAAGTTAAAGCTTATGTTATGAGGTGAATTGGGTCCCTTCAGAACCCATATTTGAAGTCTTGATTTCCGGTACTTCAGAATGTAACCTTATTTGGAGACAGGGTTATTGCAGATGTAATGGTAAGATGATGTCATATCGCAGTGCAGTAGGCCCCTGATCCAATATGATTGGTGTCCTCATAAAAGGGGAAAACTGGAGACAGAAATGCACACAGGGAAACTGTCATGTGAAGACGAAGGCACAGATCAGGCCAATATTTCTACAAGTCAAGAAACATCAAAGATTGTCAAACTACCAGAAGCAAGGGGAGAGGCACAAAACAGATTCTTCCTCACAGGCCTCAGAAGAGACCAATCCTATGGATGCCTTGAACTGGGACTTAGAGCCTCCAAAACTGTGAGACAGCACATTTCTATTGTTTAAGCAATCATTTTCTGGTACTTTGTTATGACAGCCTTGGGAAACTAATAAATCTTATTCCGTAATTAACTAAAAAATGCTGAGTGTCAATTATGATATAAATATATATGCATATATGTGTATCTGTATGTCTGTATAAATAATATAAAATACACTATCCGAAGCTTTGTTTGATTTATTGTATCAAGTAGACTGTTGATTGAAATATTGAGCAATTAAACATTGAATTCAATTACTGAACATTAGAGTTTCAAATTGAGAAAGATATATTTTAAGGAAAAGCTTCAAAATTATAATGGCTTTTTATATCAGAAAGGTCCCTAAATATATTTCCTCCTCTTTGAAGTCTAAGAGGATGTTGCTATCTCTAAATTGCCTCTCTCAGTTTTTAACAACTCCCTAAATGGGTTTCCTGAGCAAGTAAGAAGAGTAGAAGCTTTCCCGGTCAGCAGTCAGCATTCTTGGTTCATATCACACTGGTTAGTGCTTCTGAGGTATTTTGATTTTCTTATGAGACTGCTTTTCCCATTTGCCCTGCATGTCTTTCTGTTGCCTTTTATGAGAATGTGAGCCCTGTGAACTTAAGGTTCGGAGCACTTTCATCCAATCTGAGAACTATCAATTTGACCATTGCCTAAATAATAACCTGCTATGTATCCTTTCAACCTAAAGAAAGACCATAATTGATAATTTGGGCACATTCTATCACAAACCTTCTTCCACAAAGTAACGAGGGGACCACTTCTAATTCAAAAGATTTCAATATAGGCCAGGAAATTATAATGCCCTGTCATTCACTGAAACATAGTCATAGATGCTTTTGTTAGGGGAATATCTTAGGAATATTTTTAAAAGATTTTTTTAGTTTTTATAAGTTTATCATAATGATTAAGAAGACCGGCTCTGGGGGTGCCTGTGTGGCTCAGTCGGTTAAGTGTCCTACTTTGGCTCAGGTCATGATCTCACAGTTTCTTGAGTTTGAGTCGCGCATCAGGCTGCGTACTGACAGCTCAGAGCCTGGAGCCTGCTTCAGATTCTGTGTCTCCCTCTCTCTCTGCCCCTCCCCTGCTCATGCTCTGTCTCTCTCTGTCTCAAAAATAAATAAAAACATTAAAAAAAAGAACATCAGCTCTGGAGTTAGACCTAGACTGGGTTCAAATCCCAATTTTACCACTTTAATAGCTTGTGGCCCTGGGATCATGATGTAACCTTCATAAACACATCTCATTCCTACGACTAATACCAACCTTGAAAAGTTATTGTGAGGATTAATGAGATAGTACTTAACACAGCACTTAGAGCATAGTACTCACTACCAAAGGCTCAGTAAAGTTTCTCTGTTGGGTTCTTCTTAGCAGTGACAGTAACATCAACAGCATTGCCAGGTTTCAGTCATTATGAACAATGGAAAATTTCAGTGGGGCAGACTGAGTGCCTCCTAGGTGATTACAGGCAACTAAATAGGTTCATTTGTATTGGCCACTTCTTATAGATACAATCTAACTTTGGCCTCTGAATATTAGGACGTAAATTTGAAAGCGTTCAGTCCTATGTGACATGGGTTATCTACATAAACATAGGGTTCTCTGTGAGAAAGACTGATGTAGGACACGGAGATATAATAGAAAATAAGGACATAGACTGCAAATGATTGCTTTTAATTGAGTATGTCATCGGAAGGCAAAGTAAAAACTTTGAAACTCTCTACAAGTCTCGGGATTTTATACACTGCCCACGTTTAGTTCCTCTGTCAGACCTGCCATTTTATGTGTAATATAATACTGCTTAAGGTTATCAATCTTTAAAAAAGTATACCATTGCTTTATAGCCACTCCTGCTTTGCAATACAAATGACATAATTACTTGTTCTGGCTGGAGGGGGTCCAGTTCCTCTAGTTCATTTTTTAAATGCAAATCTTATTAAGTATTTTATCCTAAAATGGCTAATGCAAAAAGGGCAGTCCTAGACTAAGATGGACAACATGCCTAAAAAATAAATACTAGGCAAGTAATGAAACCTGAATTAAATCAGCGTAGTGGAAACCAAATTGATTACTTATTGAAATATGTTAACATGGTGTAATGGGTAACTGCCAAAGTCAGATATACAATAATATTACATGAATCATTGTCAGATAATCACAAAGGTTTATAAGAGCAATAAGAAATTTTAAAATCTTTTCTGCCGAAATCTAGAGGCTCATAAAAAAAATTACAGATAGTGATCTGTATATTATGTAGTTCAGTTAAAAAGATCCTTTTGTTTTTTACAGGTTCTCTTTTTGGTTTTCTTCAAAATTCATAAGCTTGTTGTCAAATAGAATATGGGCAGTTTTTCTATAAAATCTTGCAAGAAACTTTTAAGAATGCTAAATGCATTGTCTCTGCTCAATTCATTTTAAGATTTCAGCTATGCAACAAAGTCTTTTTGAAAATTCTTTTTTTATTTTGAAATGTGGAATACACATTAAAAGTATATATTGTATATTTTTGTGTGTACAGTTTAAAGAATTAAAAAAAAAAAAAGAAACACCCAATGTACACACCACTGTCCTAATCTAAAAAAATATAGTTTCTGTCCTTGGAGCTACCTGGAACAATGCCTTTGAAGAGATTGCTTTCATTGAAGCTATTCTGAAAATAATTGAATTAAATTGTTTGGTTGCTTTAAATGTATCCATTGGTTTCTAGAATGTATCCATTAGTACTTATAGGCTTTTTTTTTTTTTAACCCAATTGTTTAAATGTCCAGTTTCACACAAACGATTTGCAATGTAATTTAAAAAATTGAAATGTAATACTTCATACATTTGTTCAGTGTTTAACAATTAGAGAGCATTTCACAGCTATTGTTACTCTCCAAGTTGTTAACTTAAAAGATATAATACCTGAACAGCTCTTATTCATTTCACAACGTTTAAATAGCAGTAGGGAAAAGCTGGAGCAGAAAATCCATCCAAACTCAGATAATTGTACTACCTTTAAATTTTAAATTTGATCCTTTACGCCTCAGTTTCCCCTAAGATACATTTGAAAACACACTGCCTGCCAGGATTGACAAGGTATTTGAGTATTTTGTTTGCCTGATCAAAGAGAGCTCAACAAAGAAGGGAAAGCCCATTGACTCCTGCTGGGAAGAAAGTGACTTCATTAGCACATCATAGGGGTGCCCCTTTGAAAGTGTGTTAAACTGTGTTAACAGTTTGGTTTAGAGGTGGGAGTGTGACTGGTTTAAACTTGTCTCATTAATAGACTAGTGTGATTCTGAGTTGGATTTTGCAAGCCTGTTACAGTATTGCCCCATTGCTCTCCCTAGAATTCCTTACAATTTCTACTTCTCCGCGGCTGACTGTTATCAAGGCTCTGTTCTTGAGTGATTTCTAGCCCTAGGACTCTTCCTTTGTTTCAGTCATCAAGAACTGTTAGCAGCTCATTTTCCCAAAGAAGGGCCATTTCGATGTATTCTGTTGTTTCAGCAGCCCTTTGTCTTCCCCTGGAAGAAGAAATGAACCCCCATGCTTTCCAGAGAGGCTGGCACTCAGAGAAGCATATTGCTTTATGTGATGAGAGATGTAGGAGGAGGCCCAAGTGACTGGACACACACACCCTAAGGGTTATCCGTGCAACCAATAATTAAGTTCTTAGAGGCTGATTACTTTCTGTTGCTTAGATGCAAAGCAAACAGAAGTGTCGTACACAGGATAAAAGCCAAAGAGCTGAGTATGTGTAAACCTCTTTTGGAAGATTTATTACATGTCACAATGTGGCTATAACTTATTCTCATCTGTCCCTCTTGGCACTTACCAACAGTGATGAAAATGGAGAGTCTTTACTCAGGGAACTCTTGACTGCATTACTATTAAATTATTTGCATATTGGTAGCACAGAGGAATCCTGGGATGGCATTTTTCCAAGTTTCATTACCCTAACCCTCACCACTCAATAAGAGTTCCCACAATCCCAATGAGGTGGAGAGAAAGCAGTGGAGCTATTTGCCTTCTGAGTATTTTCACCGTTAACTAATGAAGAATTGCAGGTAAATGACACTAACTGAAAGAATGGAAGGATGGAGGGATAGATGGATGGATAGAAGGCCCCAAGTTTATTAACAAAGCAAAGTGGTTCATTGGAGGGGGGTTGGGGGGGGCATTTAAATGAATGAGCACAATTGTATTGCAAAGCCACAGAGCCCCCTATTGGTAACACAATATAGTTTATCTTGGTTACTGCCGTTCTGTTTTGATGAACAGTTTCATCATGGAGTATTTGTTATGTCACGGACAGACAGATGACCATGAATCAATCTTTCTCCATCCAATCGCGTGCCTTTTGCTAACTACAAAATGTCCACCTGCATATGCACTACGGTATACTCACCTCAACAACTAGACTTACAAAAACTTCAGCACAGACCCCATAGCATCATGATTTTCTCCATCTTACTAGGTTTAAAATTACCAGTATTTTTATGAGTTATTTTTAACAGTGTTAGCTTGACTTTTAAAGACCTAACCTTCCCTTGGGGCGCCTGGGTGGCGCAGTCGGTTAAGCGTCCGACTTCAGCCAGGTCACGATCTCACGGTCCGTGAGTTCGAGCCCCGCATCAGGCTCTGGGCTGATGGCTCAGAGCCTGGAGCCTGTTTCCGATTCTGTGTCTCCCTCTCTCTCTGCTCCTCCCCCGTTCATGCTCTGTCTCTCTCTGTCCCAAAAATAAATAAACGTTGAAAAAAAAAATTAAAAAAATAAAAAATAAAAAAAAATAAAGACCTAACCTTCCCCTACCTCACTTACAAATGAGATCTAATTTAAAGTGAATTTCTGCCTTTCAGACCAATTAGGGTAATGTTTCCTGCTTTCCTCTTTCATTTAGAATCTTCCACCTTGTTCTTCTATCAACACATTAATGCATTTCATTAGCAGAATGGAGATAGTTTGGGATAGGATTGGAGAGAACTAAAGGTCTTCTAAAAGCCTTAGTAGCTTCCCCAAACAACCCCAAGTTAAATAATCACTTAATTATTTAAATGACAAGAGAATTAGCAAATGTGTGTTTGAAAACATCAACTGAATATTATTTGCATTGATCTATACCACAGACTTTAAATTTTAAGTGTATTTACTAGGGAAATGCGGCCTCCAGACAAGTGCCCTGAATCTGCTCTCAACTACATTGTTGCTCCGAATCTCCATCAACATGAAAATTCTGGAGCCATTGTTTTGTTTTTTTCTACCCTGACATGTCTCTTTATTTCCTCGTGTGCATTACAGCAGCAAAGTCTTTTTTTTTTTTTTTTAATTTTTTTTTCAACGTTTTTTATTTATTTTTGGGACAGAGAGAGACAGAGCATGAACAGGGGAGGGGCAGAGAGAGAGGGAGACACAGAATCGGAAACAGGCTCCAGGCTCTGAGCCATCAGCCCAGAGCCTGACGCGGGGCTCGAACTCACGGACCGCGAGATCGTGACCTGGCTGAAGTCGGACGCCTAACCGACTGCGCCACCCAGGCGCCCCATACAGCAGCAAAGTCTTAATCCTGCTCATGCTTAGCTGAGGGCAGAATTAACCCTATTCCCTACATCTATCCCATTTCATCATGCTTTGATCCAATTAGTCTTTAACTCAAAACTTACTCTTCTTAGAAATTCTTCCTCATCGAACCCTAATCCTTGATTTACCCACAAATTCATATGATCTCTTCCTTGTTAATTATACAAATTCTAGAATATTACAGCAAAAATTTGTTAATTAACTGAAGCACAACAGAATGCCTAGATAAAATATTTATGTTCCTGTCACTTTTTCAGTCTTTTCTGAATTCTCATAATCTTGTACCCTATAAATACTGTTGCTCCCTAATTTGTTGTTTTAAAATTTTTCCTTTCTTTGGTCTTGTATAATCTTCCTTGAAAACATCAACCACTCTTATAGCCTCTTTTAACTATTGCCGATATACAGATAATTCCCAATGCCTCCTCAATATTTTCATCAGGATATACCAGAATTCCCTTCAACTCAATAAATCTATTTATTCAGCATTTATTAAGAGACTTCTGGTTCAGGCCATGATAGAGTCCCTAGTTTTGTAATTAAATTCCCACCATAAACAACTAAAAAACTTAGAAAACTATATATGAGGGAACTGTTTTTAGGCATTTGATAGCAATTGGGACAAGGCTACAACCCATGAAAAAAGTCAGGCTCATGGGTGAGCACCATTACCACCTGTCAGAACCTTGGACATCTCCTGAGTTGACCTTATTCTGAGACTGCTTACAGGATGTCTGGCTGAGAGCAGGGGCTGGGAAAGACTATAGAGTGCTTGACGGAGTCAGTTCTGTTATGCCAAGATTAGGGCTCTTGCTGGGAAAGCCTGAAATCCTGACATATGATGATCATCTGAATGTATGTGCCCAAACATTGGGCTCCCCAAATCCTCTAAATACTTAGATCCTATACAGGTGGCCTTTTCTGCATGTGGGGAAACACTGTAGAGTCCTCTCTCCCACAAGGAAACAGGGTCAGCTTCAGGATTTTCCCCACTATCTTCTTTTCTGCATGTCAGGCCAAACTTTGATTTAAGTCATAGCAAAAGCAAGTCAAAGATCTACTGGGCTTGATTAGTGAGGAAAGAGACTATACTTAAAAAAAGAAAGAACGAAAGAAAAGAAAGGAAAAAGATATTCAATAATTAGCCAGCATTGATGGCGAAAAGCCTGTGCAGAGTACTCACAACTGAATTTTGAAGGTTCTTGATCAAGAGGACAGGACATAACACTAAAAAAAGGAGAGTTTATTAATTCTCCCAGGGTATGACTTTAACACTTGGCAAGGACTCCAGAGAATGATGCAAATTTGTTGCTTTATAGTGGCTTTCAGAAGTTTAGAGAAAGTGATGGCCCATGATAATTGAAGTTGCAATGCTTGAACTGCCATGTGAGACAATGGGGAAAGGGATAAAAAGTCTCAGGGAGGTGGGCAGGCTAGAATGGCTATATTATGTGAGACCAGAAGACCCACCAGAGGATTATGTTCCACAGAAACATAATTATGTTCCAGATTATGTTCCAGAGAAAATGTCATTCAGCAATGCCATCAGGAATCCACTGGTGTGAGGGATACCAGAATCAATAATAAGTTCAGTGGTGGCTCTGTTCCTCAGGCCAAGGTAGATTCTAGAAAATGCTGTCACAGAACTTAGTTTGTAAATGATAAGGTTTTATAAAACACATGAGCTTCTGGGAGTGGAAGACAGATTCTGCAAAGATTCTGGGACCTGCCACTTTAGCAAATTTCTAGTGCTCAATCATAGGGGCTATCCCAGGAAAATCGCACCAACATAAAGACTATTTACTGTATCTTTCATCACCCACCACAAAGAACCACAATATCCAATTGGCCTCTTTGGGTTCTGGAAGCAGCACACATTCCACATCTAAGAATACTCTGGCCCATGTAGTGAACTGATAGACTTGAATGGGGTCTGGAATGGAAAAGGACTCTACAGCAAGTCCAGGCTGCAGTAAATAAAACCAGCAGTTTGGGACCTAAAATCCAGCAGACTTTATGATTTTGGAGGTTTCAGCAGTGTAAAATATGCAGTATGGATTTTATGACAAATTCCAGTGGGAAAATCACAATTCAAGCCACTAGAGAAGTCATGCCATCTGCAGCAAAAATACAAAACAAAACAAAACTATGTTCCTTTAAAAAAGCAGCTTCTGGTATGCCACAAGATTCTTAGTTTATCCATTTGTTTAAAATTTCCTATGAGCTCAATTATATTGGACCCACCAAGTCATGTAATCAAGTGGTCCCAGCAGCAATCCATCACAAATTGAAACTGTATGTACTAAGCAAAACCAGAAGGCATAAGTAAGCTATGTGAACAGGTTGCTCAGAACCACATGCCACTCACCATGGTTGTTTCACCATGGTTCCTTCAGTTTATTCATACCTATGGCCATGTGAAAGATTCTACCTAATCAGCTGAAGGAGGGAAACAAAGCCCAGTGGATGGGTTGACTAGGTTAATGGAAGGATTGACTCAGTATGTGGTATAAGCTGAAAATGATATGCCTGCTCTATAGTTATTCCTAGAGGTGGCCTTGAAAGATATTGGTGAGGCAAAATTTTCCCAATAGGTGGAACTTTTAATGCTGTTTATGTCTATGCATGCTTTGGTAAAATAAAAGTGTTCTGAGTGGAAAATGGCTTAGCTAGCTTGCCAAGGAACTTATAGAAATAAATTGAAAGATCAATAACAAGAGAGTCTGGAGAAAAGGTTTCTGAAGGATATATAAAAATAGGTATAAGGTGAATATTTTTTTAATAAAAGCTAATGCCCACAGAAAACCAACTATGGAACAGGCACTGAAAAACCGAGCAGACAAGATAATTCAGAAAGTTGTCTTAAGTCAGCCTTTGTCATTAGCCACTTAGAACTAGCTAAAAAGGCACCCGGAAGGATTGACCACGGTGGCAAAGACTTAGATTATGTATGGGACTAATAGCATGGAATACCACTTACCAAGGCTAATATAGCTACTGTATCCTCTCATCAATTTTCCAGAAATAAGACTGACACAAAATGTGGCACTATTTCTGAAGGAGATACCATCACTCGGTGACAAGGTGACTACTTTTGGCTCCTCTTATCTGAGGATGACAAGTGACATTTTTATTGGATGTGAGTTTGAATTCTGCTTTGTAGGACTTCAGCCAAAACTATTATCTGGAAGCCTACAGATGTCTAATTTACAGCTGTGATGGCCAATATTGTGAGTTAAGTTTGCTACACCATGGTACCCAGTTTTTGGTCAAACACCAGTCTAGATGCTGCTGTGAAGGTATTTTTTAGGTACAATTAATTTAAATTAGTAGATTTTGAGTAAAGCAGTTTACCTTCCTTAATGTTGATGGGCCTCATCCATTCAGCAGAAGGCATCAAGAGAAAACACTGAAGTCTTCTTCAGTGTTTATAGAATTCTTCCTATAGACAGTCTTTGGACTCAACACTGCACCATCAACTTTTCTCTGAGTCTCCAGCCTGCTGGTCTTCCCTGAAAATTTGAGACTTGTCAGCCCCCACAATTATGTGAGCCTGTTCTTTAAAATATCTGTCTTTGTCTCTCTGTTTCTGTCTCTCTCTCTCTCTCCACACACACACACACACACACTCACACACACACACACACACACACGATATGAAAGTATCCAAATATTGGGATCCACTAGTCATATCGTACAGTGTACCACCCAGAATTAGCTAGCCTTAGAACATTGGAATGACCTGCCAGAGGTAATTCTAGAAGCATCAGCTCAGAAGTAATATTCTGTGAGGATGGGCTGCCATCTCTTAGGATGCAGCATCCATATTGAATTAGAGACTTATATAGCACTGTGTCCCCCCAAGAAAAATATGCATGCATACATGAACCAAAAGGTAGAAGTAGAAGTGGGTCTACATATATACCACCATTCCTAATGATCCACTGTAAGACTTTGAGATTTCCCTTACCACAACTCTGGATTCTGTGCAGTTTGAGCTCCTGGTCCCCAATAGGGTCATATTCTTGCCAGTGGACATGTGTAGCAATTGACCTATATTCTTTGATTGCCATCTGGGCACTTTGGAATGCTGAGATCAGGGAACAACAGACAAGAAGAATAGTTATCATCTTGTCAGGGGCAATTGATCCTTACCAGTAAGATGAGTTAGGATTATTCTTAGATAATGGACCAGAGAAAAATATTCATGGAATCTACTTGGATGTCTCTTGGTACTCCATTGCCTGACAGTACATGTGAATGAACAAATGCAGTAACTCTATTCTGAAAAGAGTTTTGTTACATGAAACTCAAACACCCCTAGGTCACTCCACTAGTCATGGAAACCAGCAGAAATAACACTGAGGATGAGGGTTATTTAAATCATTGTGGAAGAGAGACTATGAACACCAGTTGTGGTCCCAAGAACAACTACAGCAGTGGTGGTTATAGTGGTCCCACTAACCTCATGCTTTTTTTCCACCCTGGAAGAGAGGTCCATCGGAACCCTGAAGGGGCTACAACCTAAATACATAAAAAGTGAATCCATGTAATGCAAGACATGGATCATGTTAGTCATAGAGTTATTCCTCTCTGATCTCTCTTTGAGGAGAATTCGTCATTCAGTTGTATTGAGTATATTTAGCTAACAGCCTCCAACTGCAATGCTTTAAGGATGCACTTCAGTGTTCCAGCCAAGGCTATGTTTTTGCCAGGCAGCACCAAACTAATGATTAAACAGAGCAGGGGTATTATAACCTGGCTATTTCTCACTAACATGGGACTTCTCAAACAGGTAGAATTTGCTTCAGAGCTCTCCAAAGAGTTAGTCAAGGTTGTGTCAGATTTGTATCATGGGATGAGGCTCTTCCTGCCCAGGTCTTTTTCTTTCTTAATTTCTACTCACAGATGTCAGATCAGCCTCACAATCTGACATACCTGCCTTCTGCCTTTTTATCTTTCACAGGAGTTACCTACTCCTCCCATTCTCCAATAAACATTTTGTGCTCCTTAATCTTGCATCAATGTCTGACACACTATGGAAGCCAGAAAATATCTTTAGAGTGCTAAGGAAAACAACTGCTAAAATCTAGCATGCTATCTCCAGTGAAATTATCCTTCAAATGAGAAGCTAAAATAAAGACATTCTCAGACAAAGGAGAAAAAGCTGAGAGGATGTGTCACTAGCAGCCCACATTACAAGAAATACTAAAGGATTTCCTTCAGCTGTAAGGAAAATAAGCCAAGATAAAAGCAGAGAGGTGAAAAGAAATAAATGGCTCTGGAATGGTAAATAAATGGATAAACATGAAACTATTTACTATTTGGAGCAACAATCATAATATTTTTGGAGGGTTTTTACATTAGGATGAAAGGCATGACAAAATTAGCAAAATATAAAAAATGAAAAAGAGATGAGAGTGTATTAAGTGGAGTCAACTGGTAGAAAGAGCTTACATTGTTTAAGATGTTCTAAAAGTACTAATTTAAGGTATACTGTAATAAGTTAAAGAAGTAATTTCTTGGATAACCACAAAATAATGATACTAAAAGTTATAACCCCCCCCCAGGAAAAAGCTAATAGAGGAATAACAAAAATATTTAATCAATACAACAGTAACAAATAATATATGGAACAACAAGACCAAAAAGTAAGATGTTAGACTTAAACACAACCATGTCATAAATACACTACACATGAATTGATTAAAACTCCCTATTAAAACACAAGGATTATCAGAGTGGATTTTAAAAGATCTAATTGTATATTGTTTACAAGAAGTGTACTTTAAGTATAAAAGTAAAGGTATATTGAAAATAAAACAATGGACAAAAAGGTTTTCCATGTAAATACTTACCATAAGAAAGATGCTATTACCGTATTAATATTAGACAAAACTGCATTGAATGCAAGAAATGTTACAAGACATAAAGAAACACTTTGTAGAGATAAAAGTCTTATTTAATAAGAAGATATATAAGCCTAAACTACTATGGACCTAATAGTAAAGATTTAATATATATAATGCAAGAGTTAACAAAACTAAAAGAATAAACAAGTATACGCACAAGTTCAAGTGGCAGTTTAACACACCTTTCTCAGTAACTGAGAGTATAAACAGGTAAAAAATTTAGTAAGGATATAAGATTTGAAAAATATAACACACTCAAGTTTTAACTGATGAATATAAAACACTGCAAGATTTCAACCCAGTTGTCTCAATAACTAAGAGAACAGCAGACAAAACCCCCAAAGGTAGACTCAGAATAGCCAATACAGTATTGAAGGATTACAAAGTTGGAAGACTGACACTCTCTGACTTCAAGATTTACTAAAAAGCTAATAATCAAGGCAATGTGGTATTGGTGAAGGAACAGATAAAATAGAGAGCCCAGAAGTAGGTCCACATAAGTATAATCGACTGATCTTTGACAAAGGAAAAAAGGGCATCTCAAAATAGAAAAAGTACTTTTCCAACACATGGTGCTGAAACAACTGGATATCTGCATGCAAACAAAACAAACAAAACAAGGGGCGCCTGGGTGGCGCAGTCGGTTAAGCATCCGACTTCAGCCAGGTCACGATCTCGCGGTCCGTGAGTTCGAGCCCCGCGTCGGGCTCTGGGCTGATGGCTCAGAGCCTGGAGCCTGTTTCCCATTCTGTGTCTCCCTCTCTCTCTGCCCCTCCCCCATTCATGCTCTGTCTCTCTCTGTCCCAAAAATAAATAAACGTTGAAAAAAAATTTTTTTTCAAAACAAACAAAACAAAAGCAAAGAAAGAAAGAAAGAAAGAAAAAGAAAATAAAGAATTTAGACACAGATCTTATGTTTGTCATAGAAATGAATTCAAAATGGATTCTAGACCTAAATGTAAAATGCAAAATTATAAGCTCCTAGAATTTAACATTAAGAGAGAATCTAGGTAATCGTGAGTATGGCAATGGTTTTTTTTAGATAAACCACCAAAGGCATAATTCATGAAAAAATAACTGATAAGCTTGAATTCATTAAAATTAAAAACTTCTGCTCTGTGAAAGACAATGTCAAGAGAATGAAAAGACAAACCACAGACTGGGAGAAAATATTTGCAAAAGACACATCTGATAAAGCAGCATTATATATTTTATAATATACAAAGAACTCTTATGACCCAACAATAAGAAAATAATCCATTTAAAACATAGGCCAAAGACATTAAAAGACTGCTCACCAAAGAAGTCATATAGATAGCAAATAATCATGAAAAGATGCTCCACATGATGTGTCATCAGTGAAATGCAAATTAAAACAATAGCAAAATATCACTCCAGACCCGTTAGAATGTCCAAAATCCAGAACACAAGACACCAAATGCTGGGAAGGATATGGAGCAACAGAAACTCATTGCTGGTGGAAATGCAAAATGGTTCAGCCTCTTTGGAAAAACAATTTGGCAGTTTCTTCCAAAACTAAACATACTCTCACGACACAACCCGGCAATTGCATGTCTTGGCATTTACCCAGAAGAGATGAAAATTTATGTCCACACAAAAACCTGTATATGAAGATTTATAACAGCTTGATTCATTATTGCCAGAATTTGGAAGCAATCAAGATGTCCTTCAGTAGGTGAATGGATAAATAAACTGTGGTACATCCAGACAAAGGAATGTTATTCAGTACTAAAAATAAAAGCTATAAAACCATGAGAAGACATGGAGAAACTTTAAACACACATTACAAAGCGAAAGAAGTCATTCTGAAAAGGTCACATACTGTATGACTCTATATAACATTTTGGAAAAGGAAAAACCATGGAGACAATAAAAAAGATCAGTGGTTGGCAGGGGTTGGGGGAAGGAGGGATAAAGAGGCAGAACAAAGAGGATTTTTTAAGGTAGGGAAACTATTCTGTATGTAATTATAATGGTGGGTATATGTCAATATACATTTGTCCAAACTTATGAAATGTACAACATGGAGTGATTCCTATTGTAATTTGTGGAGTTTGGATGTAAAAGATGTGTCAACGTATTCTCATCAACTGTAACAAATGTGTTACACTCGGGTGTAGGATAGTGAGTGTGGAGAAGGATGTGCATGTATATGGATAGAAGGTATAAAGGAGCTCTGTAATTTCTACTCAGTTTTTCTCTAAACCTAAAACTTCCCTTAAAAATAAAGGATACTTAAAAGAAAAAACAAGTTAATTGCCTAACCTCCCCCCGACCAAAATCAATAAGAATAAGATTTGAAGAACTGACAAACCAAATTTATCTAGTTGACATATATAGAACATCATATGCAACAACCACAAAAAGCATATTCTTCTGTGGTGCACATAACACATTTACCAAAATAGACCATATTCTGTCCTTAAAATAAGCCTTGACAAATTCCTAAGGATTTAAGTCACATTCTGATCATCGAAGTATTTACATTAGAACTGAATAAAAGATAGACGACTAGAGAATCTATAAATATTTAGACATTAAGCAACATACCCCTGCAAAAGACTTAATTCAGAGAATAAATCCTAGGGAAATTAGAAAATATTTTGATCTAAATGATAAAAAAATACAACATGTCAAAATTTATGCAATGCAGCTAGAGCATGCTGAGTAATAATTTTGTAGTTTTATGTGCATGCATTACAAAAGAAGGATCTAAAATCAATAATTTAAGCGTCTTCCTCAAGAGTGAGAAAAAGAACAGCAAACTAAACTCAAAGAGGGTGGAAGGAAAAAAAATAATTAGGTAAGAGTAGAAACAGGCGTACAATAGAGGCAGTCAACAAAGCCAAAAGTTGGTACTTTGAAAAGATTAATGAAATTCATAAACAACTAGTAAGATGGACAAAATAAGGGGTTGGGAGAGAATAAGAAGCGTAAATTATCACTATTCAAAGTAAAAAAAGGGAAACTATATTGTAAAGATATTAAAAAGGTAATAAGTGATTTTTTAAAGAATTTACATTCACTAAATTTTTAAAAATCATGAAATGGGAAAAAAAATCCTTTGAAAACACAAGTTACCAAAACCAGCACAAGATGGAAAATCTAAAGTGTTGTATGTCTTTAAAAAAATTTTTTTTAATGTTTATTTTTGAGA